GGGGGGGACAACAAACGGCAGCGGGCACTTCTCACTTGACCTCACATACGCTGCTTGCATCCTCTTTCCTGAGGACAAGTATTTAAGCAAAGGCCAGGTCAGCCAATCGGAAGCAAAGTTCTAGCAGACTTTACCCAGGGTAACAATAACAACTGGTATTTTTATTAGTAATACCTGCAATGGCTGGGAGTCCAGAGCCCTGGTGGCGCAGTGGTTTAAGTGCTTGGCTGCTAACTGAAATGCTAGCAGCGTGAACCTACGAGCCACTTAGAGGGAGAAAGATGGCAACGATCACAGCCGGAGAACCCATTCGGGCAGCTCTACTCTGAGAAGGGCCATGTAAGTCAGAATCAACTCAACAGCATCGGGCTCTGGCTGGGTTTAACTCTTTAGAGCAGTGGTTCTCCACCTTCCTAAGGCCGCGACCCTTTAATACAGTTCCTCATGTCGTGGTGACCCCCAACCATAAAATTATTTTCGTTGCTACTTCATCACTGTCATTTTGCTACTGTTATGACTCATCATGTAAACGTCTGATATACAAGATGTATTTTCAGTGTTACAAATTGGACATAATGAAAGCACAGTGATTCATCACAAAAACAATACGTAATTCTATATTGTGAAATATTTATTTCTAATGGCAAATAAATGAAATTTTGTCTTGAAGCATGGTGTGGCATGGGTAACAGTCTTCATGCCGGTACTCATATGTGGGCTGACCCACCTGGAAACTGATCGAGGAGCGGTGTCTCAGGTCCTAAGACCATTGGAAATACATGTTTTCTGATGGTCTTGGACGACCCCTGTCAAAGGGTCACTGGACCCCCCCACCCCAAAAGGGGTCACGACCCACAGGTTGAGAACCGCTGCTTTAGATGAACCCATGGGCTACCAATTTCACAACTATCTACCAGGCAGTAACACAACCTTCATTTTACAGATGGGGAATTTGAGGCTCAGAGGGACTCAAACAGGGCTTTGAACTGGTTCATTCAGGTTCAAGCGCCCTGCTGAGAAGTTGCCTTTCTGCCACACATATGCAGCACCTACATTTTAACAGGATCCCCAGATGATCCTTAGGTATACACAAGGAACCAAATGAACCAGTTGGAGGTCCCGGCCTGAATCACTGGCCTGAGTCACAGTCAGTCAACGACAGGAGCCAGGATGCACACCCAGATCTGAGTGCTGAGCATGTCACCTCCAAATGGGGACCCGCAGGAGAAAGCACATGCAGGCACAGGAAGGAAAGCTGCCCTCTCTTCTTCTAGAGAGGGAACTTCTATTTGCATCCATTTCCTTACACACAGCTCCTAAATCGTCATCACATACACAAAGCAGCCTTCCTAGGTGGCAGTGTGGCATTGTCCCTGGGCAGGAGCCCACCGTCCAAGCTCCCGGCTTATTAGCTTTTAGGACCTTGGGTGGTTATCTCGGAACCTTCTGTAAAACGGGACTAAGGCTCTATCAACCTGCCCCTGTACAGAGTAAAAGGGTCGTGAAGTCGGGAAAGTCTGGTGCAGGAGAGAGCTGCCATTACTGTACAACAGGAGCAATAGCTTCTCTCCCTGGCCAAGACACAGGGCACACTGAGCCGATCAATCCCCTCAAGCCTGGGACTGACCGGAGCTGACCTCTACCCCAGGGAGGAAGCTCCTCACTAGGTAGGAACCAGGCACCACTAGCTCATTTATTAGTTCGTTTTCATACAAGTTCATGTAAAGTTCTTTGGAAAGGGGTCAAGAGACCCACGGCCAGTCTCCCTCCATCACGGAGCAGCTGTGGGTCCCCACCAATGGGAGGAAGAGGTGGCCATCTGCTATGATAAAGATGACAGCCTTGGGCACCTGCTGGGGCAGCTGAACAAGTTCCTCCTCAAGGGGACAGAGTGGACGGTGGATCAAGCCCGCATCCTCTCTAGGCTGCCTGGGAACGGCTGACACATCAGGCCTGGGATGCTCGCCAGTTTCTTCTGGGGCTTAGCCACACACACCCCCAAAACCACATTCCTCTCCTTTTCTGAATCTCCCATTTAGACTCAAGAGGAACTAGTCAAAGGCCCTCAGCAACAAACTCCAAAGAGTAAAGAGGCCTTGTTTGGTTTCTCTTAGAGCAGAAGCGCTTAGCGCCTGGGAGTTCCCCAAACTAATCTAGGAGACACACCCGGGCCTCCCCAGCCTCTGCTCGGCCAAAGGTCTTCAAAGCTCTGTACACCCTGCCAATCCTTACTTCTCTTTCACTTTCGGTGAAACGAGGGCGAAAAACACAAGCAAACCAAAATAGAAATCTAACGAGGCTGGGTGCCCGTGGCTTGAAAGCTCTGGGGTCCATACATTTAATCAAGGAAAACGGACAAGGTACGACGTCTGGCACCTGGCTGAGGTTGACCCCCGATGAACAGAAAGGCCATAGGGCTTCCTGGGGCACAGCAGAGCTCAGCTCAAGGGAGGCTGGTTTTTGACTTCGGGTGTCTGCCATATCTGAGTTCTCAACTGCCTTTTCCTCATCATGCCAATAACCCCAACTGACCACTGAGCTTCCACTTCCCCCTTTCCTTAACTAGTGGCCACGCATGCCGTACAATTCTTCGAGGGAGCACGGGGCGGGGGTGGGGTGTGGGGTGGGAGGGGTGGGGATGATGACCCCCCCCCCCAACCCAGCTTACATGCTTATAGAAACACGAAACTCTGCAGTGTTTCCTGAACTCTCGCCCCAGAATTCATGGAATTATAAGCATCAGAAAGCCTCAGGAGTTCAGCTATTCCAACAGGAGGCTGGTCCCCCCTTCCCCTCCTCCTCTGTTTCAGTTAAAAATACCAGTGAGACATGCCTTGGCAGCTCCTGGGCTGGTTTACAGAAACTGCAGAGCATGAGCGATTACAAAAGAGATCCACACAGGAAGCATGAGAAGTCAGCTCTGAACCATCTTCGGGGAAACCTAAACCGGTACTCGGCAGGCAGCGCCTCGGAGCCTCCGAGCCAGCGAACGCACGCCTGAGCAGCATTCACTTCCCCTTTTCTCCAGAAGCTGTCAAGCATCCTGTGGCTCGTTTGCACTTGTCAGCTTGTTCGCTGGAAGGAAGCCTGATTACACTTGGATGGAAACGCAAGTTGGCAAGTGGCAGAGGCTCTCGAAAACGAGAGGATGCTGCCAACAGCCCGGGCCATGGAGAAGGAACACCGCCCCTGCCGAGGGCATTGGAAGAGCTGGGGAGGATGGAGACATACGTACCTGGTCATAGGGCGGCTGGTAGCTGATGTTGAGCACTGCTTTCCCACACTGGCTGAGGAGGGCTCTCTCAGTTTCAATCTTCTCTTGGGAAATGGGTTTCACATCCTCACAGCACTCCGGATATTCTGAGTAGAAGGTCTCATACCCCCCTATACACACACACAAAAGGGGGAGGGCAAGATGTAAGCATTGATTTCTCAGGGCTGCTAGGAAGGACCCTTAATAAAGCAATACCCACTGTACAACGTGAGGGAGCCCTAGTGGTATAGTGCTTAAGCACGTGGCTGCTAACCAAATGGTCGGCAGTTCAAACCCACCAGCCGCTTGGTGGGAGAAATCTGTGGCAGTCTGCTCTCGTATAGATTTACTGACTTGGAATCCCTCTGAGGCAGTTCTGCCTTTCCTATAGAGTGGAGATGAGTCAGAGGACTCGATGGCAGTGGGTTTGGTTTTTTTGGGTTGAGGGTGGGGTAGTCAAAAACATGAAGCTAATATAGATTCTGATTTGAAAAACAAACCAAACCAAACCAAGTCATAGTTTTAAGAGAAGAAATGGCTCTCCAAACACTCTCTCTCTCTTCGCACCTGAAAATCTATCATTTAGGGAGGCAATGATTAACTGTGTGTCCACCAGAAGTAGCTTCAGTTGTCAAGGATTTATCTAACACCGTGCAAACATTAACCAAATCTCTCCAGAAGACAAAAGCTAGTTTCTGTTTATTTAAGATGCAGGCGAGATTATGCAGAATTTCACTCATTTCTGAGAAGAGACAGTGAAACTCCTCCGCTTCTTCCTTTAGCTCTAAGCAGCATGCCAGGCAGACGGACCACTGCCGTTCACAAAGAAACAAGGGCTAACAAGTGTTAATAAAACCTCCGCTGGCCACCACAGCTAAGGTGCTAACAACACTGCTGACCATCCTCTTCAATGGGTCTGGCCAGAGTTATCAATCCAGTTCATTATCTTCAACGCTAAAGGGAGGATTAAGGCTTCAGAACTGAGTTCTCAGCATTCAAAAGGCCACTCACCTCTTTCCCCACTGGGCAGTCACTTCTCCTTTCTTATCCTCCCACCCCTCCGCAGCCTAGGGAACCTGTTGGGCCCCAGAGAGCCCAGGGCTCTCTCTTTCTATTGGAGCGTCACTTGTGTCATATCATCAATTAAACATGCATCATCCTGAGACCCTGTCCTTCCCCCAAAGCCCCTTGTTTCCTTCCGCTTTCTGCTGTTGTGACAACCCCTCAGGCAGGACACTTGAGCTTTTTAAAACTCCTGCAAATAAATGGTTAATGGATTACAGGGCAGTTACCAGCTCCCTCCCAGGAGCTGCTGCCAATTCTGGAATGAGTCATCTCTCCCTCCAGGCTCCCCCTCAGCTCTCTGAACTGCCCCAGCCCCCGCTCAATACACCCAAATCTCCCTGTGGTCACTTCTGTAAGTCACCCTCTGCTCCTTCCTGGACATCCCTCCCACTCCCAGCCTCACCCCGTGACAGGAGGCCAGGCCAGATGAGGAGGGTGGAGGTCTGTGTGGCCTAGCTTCCCCAGCCCCCAATAACCTTGGAGGAAGAGTGCCCCAGACCTTGACTGACACGTGGTTTCCTCCTCCAAAGAGGTGTCCTAGTCAATAAGCCAGGGAGTTGCTTTCTAGAAGGATTGGGGTGGGAGCTGAAACGAAGAGTAGCCTAAGGCCATCCCCAACTTCAGGATGAGGCTTGGGAAGGAGAAGCCTTCAGGTCACACTCATCTCTAGACTTTAAACAGACCACCTGAGGGCTGGCTGTCCAGAACTACCTAGAGGGCAACTGCTGGTCTCTCCCCTCTGGTGAAGGAGAGCGAAGAAGATTGAAGATGCAAAGAAATAAGTGATCCAAAGGGTTGATGAAGCACTGGAGCCCGAGACCATAAGAACTAGATGGTGCCTGGCTACCACTCCCTTGAGGGGGTTCTACAGAGTGGGGCAGTAATGTGGAACAAAGCTCAAGATGATAGTAATACTTAATTATAATAAAAAGACCAAACATACCCCTTGTGCTTTAACCCTCTAAGGCACCCCTGTGGCTCAACTCTTAGCTGCACAACAGGCCTATGAGGTAAACAATGGACACCAGAGAGGTAAGCACTCCATAAGAAAGACCAATCAACAGACCAGCTCAAAAGGCAGCAGAGGCCCAGGGATAAAGCTGGGGGGGGGGGGGCAGCTGCAGAGGCTGCAATCAGTGTCACGAATAAAAATGGGTAGCAATGGTTGAGTGGAAAATTCATTTGCTCTAAAACTTTCACCCACATCACTATAGAGTTAAAAAAAGAAAAAAGTTGGCTGTCAGGGGCACGGGTTGGCTCAAGTATGGGCTGGAGCCTGCCTGCCTGTTGACAAAACATGAAGGCAGACCAGGAGTCTCAGGGTAGCCGGAAGGACAGATAAGCAGGGCCTGCCTTGGCATGCTGGGGCCAGGAGGAGTCCCACAGATCAGCTGCTCTGGCTTTCACCCACTACCATCAGAGGTGTGCAGAGACAACATGCCTTTCCGGCGCCTCACTTAGGTTGCCAGAGCTGTGGTGATCCATCTGGCAGCGTCCACCCTTTCTGCTTTCAATCAATACCGAGTTCCCCGTCGGATGGTGACACTATATATAACTACTCAGTGACAACTCCACTGGGTCACCACTTTTTCATTTTAATCCCCCCACCTACCCACCCCCAGGGAAAGAATGGCTGGATGAGCAAAAAGCTTAACCCCAAGATCTGAGATGCCACCATTTTAAAGCCGGAAACCGCAACCTGGACATCAATTAGGTACAGGAACTAATAAGAAGAAAAGGCAACAATTTAAAATTTTTTATTAGCGTTACCAGGGTCAGAATCAAGTAAGTACTCTCCAAATTGGAAATGCACATAACTTTTGACCCTGAAATTCTCATGACTTTAATGAAAAGATAGGTGGTGCACAGGCAAGGGCATGTGGGTGAGGGTGTCCTCTACCACCGGCTTCAAATACTGAGACTGGAGGCAGCCTGGAGGCCCTTCTCAGGGATTGGTTAGTAAAGCAAAATGGACACAGATGTTCTGATATGGAGGGTCTCCACGATCTAATTCTGTTGCTTTTGGGGGTGATGGCTTTTACCCATGGCTGTTATCTTGACTTCAGCAACAACAACAAACCCAGACCTTTGGGCAGAAACTTTTCTGAAATGCCAGACTACAAACTGCTTGCTTCTGGTGGGTTGACTTCCAACCAGCCAGCAGGGCTCCCTGGGAGAGGGGCTGGGGAGCACATGTAAGACCATGAGGAATTTCCTGGAACACATCTTTCAAGCCTTCCAGGAGCCGGAAGCTTTTCCTGTACTCACTGCTAAGAGCAGGAGACAAAAACCACACCAGGAAGGGAGGGAAAGAAATGGGGGTGGGGGTGGTGACAGCTCCTGGGAAAGGGGCCTGGGAAAGGGGCCATTCCTCCATCCCCTGGGGGCCTAAACTGCTGGGAGAAGATTATCCTCTTCCACCTCGACCACCTACCTAATAGGAAACAGCAGAGGTGCTAATAGAGGGAGCTGGCCATGTGCCTCCGGAATCTCCTGCCCAGGGAGTATGTGAAATTCCCCAAGCTGCAAGGCTTGAAAGGAGGGCCCCAGCTCTGCAAGGCCCAGTTCAGAACCACACCTGCTGTTCCCCAACCCTGTTTCATCCGCACAAGTGTTGCTTGAAGCGCCTTGGGGTCAGTGTCCCCAGATCTAAGCCCTTATCCCTGTACTCTGGCCACTTCCCCCAAACATGAAGTTACTAAGGCTTAAATCCGGGGCGAGGAGGGTGGGGAGGGAGGGGTGTCCGGCAGGGGAGGAAGGGAATACAATCATAGGGCCAAGCCATTGCCATAGGAAGTGACCCAGAAATCAGTATTTTGAGTTTGAAGCAATCACCCACCCACCACCGGAAGCCCAAATTATCTCCCCAGCAGGTGAAATGGGCAAGCCATCACGGCGCGACCTGTTGGCACAGCTTTTGGGGGTCTCAATTCAAAGGCAGATAAACCCCTCCACCATCAGCGGACCCCGGAGAGCCAGCGGGCTCCTCTTAGGCCCTGACTCACCAGCCAGTCGGCCTGCAGGGAGGGGCGGAGGGGCAACCAGCATCGGAGAGAGGCGGGCCTCCCCTCCCCCGCTTCGCCCCAGGACCACCCATCTCGGGAAAGCGATCAGCGCGTGCGAGGGAGGAGGTGAGAGGGGTGGAAAGCAATTGGGACCCGGCGTAGCTTGGGGAAGGGAGGAATGTAAAGACAACGGCAATAAAAAGCCATAAAAAGGAACGACAAGGAAGGGGGAGGGGCGCGCCAGGGCAACAGGGGTCGGGAGAAGACCCCGCGACGACCACAGTAATTGCCCGGGCGGGCAGGAAGGGGACACCTCGGCGCCGCGCTCCTGCGGGGTCTTGACCTGCCGATCCCGAAAGACGGGCTCGGAGCCTGCGCCTGGAAGCCCGGCCGCCGCGCTGGGAAGCTGCAGCACCCCGGTCCCCGCCGTCCTGGCCGGGTGGCTAGGAGGCCCGGCGCTTTCGAGGAACGCGGGGGCGGGGGGGCCGCTCTGGCCGCTGACATTTGCTCTGCCCTCGCCCAGCGCACGGCCAGCCCTGGACTGTAGTCGCGGGCGAGTGGGGACTTTCTCCGCGCCGGGGTCCAGCACGGTGGCCGCGCGGGGAGGCGACCCCAGCGCCCGGGGACCCCGTCTGGAGGGCAAGACGGTGGGCCTGGCGGCCCCAGTCGCGCTCACCTTTGAGAAAGTAGACTCTCGGGCCGGCCGG